ATAGGATAGGATAGGATAGGATAGGACAGGACAGGACAGGACAGGACAGGACAGGACAGGACAGGACAGGACAGGACAGGACAGGACAGGATAGAATTCTTTATTGGCCAAGTGTGATTGGACACACAAGGAATTTGTCTTTGGTGCATTTGCTCTCAGTATACATAAAAAACAAGATACATTCATCAAGAATCATAAGGTACAACACTTAATGATAGTCATAGGGTACAAATAAGCAATCAGGAAACAATATCAATACAAATCGTAAGGATACAAGCAACTATTGCTATTTATGTTTGGATTAAAGCCTATGCTTAGGCTACATATTGGAGGAAAAAATGAAAATTAATGATGTACACAAAATAAAGTAGATTATGTACAAATGTGGCTTTTTGTAGAGTCTACAGCTAGTAATTCAGATTAAGTTCAGGACTAAGAGATTCCTGGCCAGACTATTCTCTGGTGGTCACTCCTGGCTGTGGGCAAACCTGATAGTTGTGCCTCAGTCTGGCACGCCATCTAAAATTTCCCACAATGACTTGACACAGTACTATACTGGGGAATTGTGAGAAATTAAAACAGTGACTTCACAATCAAAGCTTCTTGATGTCAGGGGCCCAGAGCATCCACAGGTAATCTTTGCCAAAGGCTAGATTTTGCCCAAAGGAAGGAAGGAAAAACAAGTTATCATTGAAGTAATATCTCTATTTACACATTTGATGTAGACAATGGCTGGCTGGGGAATTCTGAGAGTTGAAGTCCACAAGTCTTAAAGTTGCTAAAGATGGACACCCTTTGTCTATACCAGGGATTGCCAATCTGTGACTCTGGAGCCACATGTGGCTCTTTCATCCCTCTGCTGTGGCTCCCTGTCGCTGGTCAGCTCCACAATTGATAGGGCTTTCGATTAGGACAGGTAGAGGAAAATGAACACCTCACTAGGAGGAGACTCTATGGTGGGGAACCGGACTTCCGGTTAGCTCCAGAATTGAATGGGGGGCTTCCAGTTAGAACCTTTGTGACTCTGAGTGTTTTAGGTGGCCGACCCCTGCTCTATACTAAATTTAGCATAATTTAGCATAATTAACCAAATTCATAAAAATTACAATTTCAATCACTGGATAAGCTTCCATAAAATGTACAAACTCAATCTTCCAATATTTTTCAACAGGATTAGCAAAAAAGTAACTTTTAAAATATTTTTTTAATTCTGCCTTTATTAATTTTATAGGCAGCAAACATACCTAATACTCCTTCCTTCTCCTTTTTTCCCCATAACAAGAACCCTATGAGGTGGGTTGGGCTGAGAGAGAGTGACTGGTCCCAGAATCACCCAGCAGGCTTTCATATCTAAGGCAGGACTAGAATTCACAGTCTCCTGGTTTCTAGCCTTGAGCCTTAACTACTAGATCAAACCATTGCCCAAGTCTTTGAAAAAATTTCCCCAGATCCTTCTTTCTTCTTGGTATCTGTCAGTCTGGAATGAAGCTGTGCTGCCTATTTCTTTTCTTGGAATGTTGCCATGGGAGATTATTGGAAACAAATGGACTTATATAATGAGGAACATTCCATCCGAGAAGAGCTGAGAGTCAGAAATGGTGCAGAGCTTCTTTCAGAAAATGAAATGAAAGGAGGCTATTATTCTAAATTAATCTTACATATATGGGAGGAAATTTTCCCGCCTCTTTTCTCATGTATTAAAGCACATCATGCTGACAGTACTGGTAATGGCAATTGGGTCTGGCAACTCCATTGCTAAGTGACATGATTGTTAAGTGAAACATCATGTGACCATGCCTGGCTTACAACATCAGTTCCACTGGGGTCAATAGGTGAGATGTCATGTCACTGTGACTTGTGACTTACTTCCCCCTTGACTTTATCAGAAGCCAGCTGTGACACTCACATGACTGCAGGACACTTAACTGTTGCCAAGGGCCCAAATCATGATCACAAGACCATGAGGGCGTTATGACTGCCATAATTATGAGGACCAGTTTGGAACTTATTTTTTCAGCACCATTGTAAGTTTGAACTATCACTAAACAGGTCAGTTGTTAACTGAGGACTACCTGTAATGGTCACATGAAAGACAGATGATAAAATTTATTTCAGGGACATTTTGCTCTTGGATACTTGGTTTCTGACCACAGATAGACAATTTCTTCATAGATCATGTCAAAAGATAGCAACTTTTAATTTTTGAACTTTCTAATCTAGAGTCTAGAGTTTTTGTCTGATGATTCCTGCCTCCACCTAAAGTACTCAGAGAAACTAGAGCAAGAGGATGCAAAAATAATGGTGTTCTCCTTTCCCTTGTTGACAACTCTGTGATTTGTAACCTTAAGTCCTCCAATTGCACAGACCTCAGGTCTAATCTGAATGTTTGGTCAGAGTGGGAGTTGTGGTTGTGAGGTGCTAAATGGATCCAATGGCTTCTTTGCTTCCTGGGTCCAGCCACTTGTCATACCTCAGTTACAGGTTCCCTTATGGTGGAGTATTTTGATGTAGAAATTTTGCAGGATTTTGCAGTGAGACAGAAAAAGAAATCTGATTTGTGTTACACCCTCTGAAGTTGGAATCTTATGTTGGTTGGGATCATAAAAAGACAGTCCAAAGCTCTAATCTTTTATTCTGGAGTCTTCTGGACACATTTGGAATGCTGGTAAGAAGCTAGGAGCATTCTCACAAAGAGCTATGGGAGGTTGTAACTCATAAAGTAACTGTCATGGAGATAGAGCCAGTTGGAAATCATGTATTGAACAAAATGCTATCTCCCCTCTGCCCTCTTCCATAGGACATTTTGTACTATCCATGCTTTAACTTTACAGTATCCTCTTTCTGGGCATTTGGGTGCACTTCCAAAATGTGCATTATGATGCAGCTCCTTGTCATTCTGTTTTTTTAAAGAGTGTCTCCACTATTCAGGATCTATAGTTATTCCTGGAATAAATGAAGATGCTGCTGGAAGGTCTAAATTTAGCAGCTTCTCATTATTTTAATTTATTTTTTTAAAATACAAAAGGGAACCATAGGCTGACCTGTAAAAAATATTAATATTGCAGTTAATTTGATGTAGCAGCTAAGACAGGGGTGTCAAACCCATGGCATCACGTTGGCATCATGTCACTTATCATGACTTTTTCCCCCTTCGCTAAACCAGAGATGGGCGTGGCCAGTGCGTGACGCATCTGGTCCGTGGGCCACGAGTTTGACAACCCTGAGTTAGGGCAACAGGCTAGAAATGGGGAAACTCTGAGTTCTGGTCCCATCTTAAGCACAAAGCCAGATGTGTGGCCTTGGGCCAATAAGCCGTTCTCAGTGCTAGGAAGAAAACAGCAGGGAATAGTCCAGTACACGCCAGGAGTCAAACTGACTTGAAGATAGATACACATAGTACAAATGAAGGCTCTGTTTTTCCTCCTTTGATCAGATACAATTGCTCTAATTTTCTTATAATTTTCATTCCCCCCCCCCCCAAATGCATTGTGCATGTTAATCAGTTCACATGAAATATTTTACTTTTTTTTAATGAATGCTTAATATCCCGGTACATAGACACCGGAAACATACCTGGAAACATCCCATGGTGGCAGGAAACTACAGGAAGGCAATTGTCCAAAGCAATATTCAGATTTTTATCAGACAAGAGTTCAGACTCTGTTAAACCTGATAGAAAATAAGCAAAATTTGTCAGATGAACCATGGTGAAAAGAAAGTAGAATTGGAATGAATTTTTACATATGTGGAAACTAACAGGCAAACCTCCTCTGAACGTTCAAATTTGAGACAAATTGGTATCTTGCCTACAGGGCCAAAGGTCTATAAACATTCAATAAATTATGGTTTGTTGTACAATCAGCCAGAGGGTTAGACTGGATTTTCTATTTTTAGCTACCTGTTGAGTCCTTCCCAAGGACATGGAATAGGCAAATGGTGTTGTTTGATGGTGTTAAAGGTATTGTCACACAATGTAAGCTGGTCCAAGTAAAGCTGCCTTTTGCAAATGACTAGTGGTGATTTTGTCAATGCCAATGGTGTTCAAGTGGTGCTTCAGTTGTTTTGAGATTGCATCCAAGACACCCATTACTATTGATAGTATCTTTGCTGGGATTTTTCTTTATTTTCAGAATGGCAAATCCAAATCCAACCTTAGGATCCTTCAAATGTTTTAATTACTTCACGTTGAACCCAAATTGTTATAAATTATTCCCAAATTAATTTCATCAAATCATTTTCATATATTCAGATTTAGATGTGTAACTGTTTTTATGAGTACCGGCGTATAGAATAAAAAATAAAATATTCCCTCATTTGTCATACACTCATCCATAACATTTGTCGTATATACTGGAGGGTAAACTACCAGAAGTCATTCATTTTGATCCATAACTATTTTAGACCAAATGTCCATTTACTGTGGCCTAGAATCCCATCTCTAGCAAGAGCTAACTTGTTCATATGGACATCCTAAAATGCAGGATGATCCTATCCACCTTTATGTGGGAGCATGGATGTATGTGCTGCTGAATTGAGCAGAACTTATCTCTCTGCATACAGTCATTAGTAATCTTGTTAGGAAACTTATTTATGGAAAGCTGTATGGTCCTCACTGAGAGTTTTCAAGATTGGACAACTATTTGCACAGGATAGAATAAGGACTCCTACCCTGGGCAGAGGGTTAGACTAAAAGACCTCCAAGGTCCCTCCCAGCCCTATGATACTATATATTACATAATTAAGGATTCTGGTAAACTTTTTATAAAAGTAGAAAATAGGCTAGAATTCACTGTAGGAGTTTATGTCTTCAGCTGTATTTGGTTTGATTATGTGCCATCAAGATGGTATGAACTCTTATTCACCATATCCAGGTGGATCTGTTCCCAACCTGGTCCTTCAGATCTTCCAACAGTGCACATATTGCTGCTATAATTGAGTCCATCCACATTGATGCTAATTACTCCCTTGTTTCTTGCCACCTTTTTCTTGGACTAGAGGACATCCAAGGTCTCTCCCAGCCTAATAGTCTATGATTCCCAGCATTATAGACTTCTCCAGGTCTTCGCATAACATGTCTAAAATCTAATACTTTGAATTTGATTACTTGCACCTTGAGTGAGAATTCGGGGTTGATTTGTTTATTTGATCCATTTGTTTGTTTTCTTGGTTATCAGTTGTTTTTTCTTAGGAGTCTTCTCCAACACCAGCATTTAAAAGTTCACTCTACTCTGATACCCTACTTTCTGCCTTGCTTCTTCAAAGTCCATTAACCAAGTTTATGGTTAAGGGGCGTGCATAAGCGCACCAGCGTGCCTACCGTCCCTGTCCTACTGACCACATTTATTTGCATTCATTTCTTTCATTCATATCCATGTTTATATTAATACCTACTATCTTGTACATGTTTGACAAACTAATAAATACAAATACAAATACAAGTTCAACTCTGGGTGTAGCTTGAAGCAGTTAAGCTCATGGTTATTAGAATACCAATAGTAAAAGGGAGTCAGAAATGAATCAGTGGGATTCATTGATTCATGATTAATCTTACTGAAGCAGTGCAAAAAACTATTTCACCACAGCAGGTGAGTAATAAATATATTAATTAGTATTGGTTCTTATTGGTTGGTTCTCTTGCTACAAAAAGATACCATTTAAAATGATTAAGGTATCAGGCTAGAAACCCAAAGAACATGGATTTTGGTTCTGTTTTAGGCATAAAGCCATCTGGGATCTTTGAGCTGGTCACTCAATCTCAGCCCTAGGACAAACCATTCCAAAATCTTGCCAACAATATTGCCAGGACTTGTCCAGGCAGTCATCAGGATTCAAGACTGACTTGAAGGCATAACAAAATCTGTTGAACTGCTAGTGATATGGAAATATCTTACGTATAGATCGGAATATTTTGACAACAGAGCATTCAGCATCTTAATGTTTTGCCAACTGTATCTTTGAAGGATGGAAATGAGGGATACAAGTATCCCCCCCCCATTGTCTTAGATGAATTTTAATATTTTTATCTTTTTTTAATCTAATTGTATCAATGGGAAGATTTATATTTAGATCAGAGAAACACCTAGCCTAAATTTTCCCCTGACCAACTTACTTCATTTCCTGCTATCTAACACCCAGTATGCCCCCTTTTCCTAATCTGCAGAAAAGGTTTTATCTTCAGTAAATGACACAGAAATGGAGACAGATCAGTTATTTTCCTCTGAAGCTAAAACCAGATTTCTGACTTTGAGTGCGGAATTGAAGGGGATGATCTTTTAAGAATCATATAATTATCCAGTCCTCTCCCTATTGCTTTTAATGCTCCCTTTCCCACAATCCCAGTGAGAAAAAAACCCAATGCTGTAATTTGTAAACACTTAACTATTTTCTCGTTCATGTTTTGTTTCTTCGATTTTAGATTTTCTTTCTACATGAAGCCGGTTCATCCTGTCATTGTTGCTTCACTCTTTTGTCACAGTCCTGCCAATGGAGAAATATCACAACCTTAATACTATATTTCTACCAAAAGTTACAAGCAGCAGTTATTCAAGAAAATGAAATATTAAAAATATTTCCTTTTTTAAAGCATGGCTAAATCTCTCCTTTGCTTTTCTGTCAACTACCAAATATATGATTTTAACTGTGAAGTTTTAAACATATGATTTTCATCAAATATACTTTATTTATAGTCCTTAAGCAGGTTTGTCATGGTTGTCAGATAGAGGCAAACATCCTTTTTAGTTACTTCCAGACACAATGTACCATCAATACATATTATCGCTGGAAACAAATGGAAACCATGTTTATGCTTAACCACACCATTTATGTGAATTGATATGAAAAACCCAAAGCGTCATTTGTTGTTTATGAATACCTGAGCTCCTAAATCATTTTTACAAGGTTCTGATGCATATCCTAGGAATATGTTGTCAACCACCCTCCTTTTTCATTTCATCGTCTTTCTTTTATTATCAAGTACTTACTATGCTTTCAAAAGGGCCACTAGATTGGCATTCTGGATATTCGCTTTGTTTTGTCTTACCCTCCTGGAAACAGCAGAGCTCCTCTACCTGGTGACCCTTGAGACTTTAACCTTCCCCTTACAAAGTGTTACCTTGCTCCTTACCTAACTACCATTATGACCTTTGCAGGCAGGCAACCTTGTGCATTGTGGGTAGGGGATTTGTACATAAAGCAAACATTTGTGTGAAAGGGGTGGACTCTGGATTATTTTATTTATTTGTTTTAGTTACTAAGATCAGTCTCAACAGCAATCAATGCATTTAGCTAGACCAGTGGTTCTCAACCTTCCTAATGCCGCGACCCTTTAATACAGTTCCTCATGTTGTAGTGACCCCCAACAATAAAAAAAAAATTTGCTTTGCTACTCTATAACTGTACTTTTGCTACTGTTAGGAATCGTAATGTAGATATTGATATTGGAAGACTGCTATCATATCACCCTTAATTTCATTCAACCAGACATACCCAGTTCCTGCAACTGTTCTTCATATGTTTGAG